TTTTGTTACAATTGATGAACCTACTTTGCATCCTAACCGCCATAGTTCCTCTTGGGTGTACATTCTGTGTTTGGACAGATGCGTAATGACATGTCCATCATTACAGTATCATACAGAGTATTTTCACGGCCTAAAAATAAAAATCCTCAGTGCCCCACCCATTCATCTCTTTCCTCCTCAACACCCCTGGCAATGACAAATCTCTTTACTGTCTCCATAGTGTGACCTTTTCCAGAATGTCATGGAGTTGGCATCACACAGTACGTAGCCTCTTGAGATTGGCTTCGTTCATTGAGTAATACACAGTTAAGATTCCTCCACGCCTTTTCACGGCTTAGTAGCTCATTTCTGTTTAGCACTGAGTCGTGGTCCATTGTCTGGATGGACCCCTTTTATTTACCTGTCACCTCCTGAAGGGCGTCTTGGTTGCCTCGAGTTCTGAAGGTTATGAACAACGCTGCAGTAAGCATTTGTGTGCAGGTTTTTGCGTGGACATAAGTTTTCAGCTCCTTTGGGTAAATACCAAGGAGCACAATTGCTGGATCGTATGGTGAGAGTAGGTTTTGTTTTGTAAGAAGCTGCAAACTCTCTGAAGTGGCTGCACCGTCTGCATTCCCAGCAGCAATGAGGGGGAGTTCCTGGCGGCCCACACCCTCCCGGCGCGTGGTAGTGTCAGTGTCTGGATTCGGGCCGTTCTAATAGGTGTGTAGCGGTGCCGCATTGTTGTTTTAATTTGCGTTTCTTGACATTCGGTGGAGCGTCTTCTCATGTGCTTACCTGCCATCTGTTTTTCTTCTTTGGTGAGGGGGTCTAGGTTTTTTGCCCATTTTTTAATTGAGTTTCTTATTTTCTTTTTTTGGTATAATTTGGATAACATCCTTTATCAGGTGTGTCTCTTGCAAATATTTCTTCCAGTGTGTGGATCGTCCTGTCGTTCTCTTGACACATTGATTTTGTTTCGGTGATCAGTGGAATTTCTTAAGTGACTTCAGGAAATATCCTATTCAGAATCCTTTTTTTTCATTCTTATCAAGGGCACTTGGAACTTGCTTAATTCTATGTTACATCTATAATAATTATACTCTTGGTCCAAAGGCTGGTCTTCCTCATTATCTGCTGCTGTGTGTCTGGCTCCCTGGCTTCTGGGTTGTCCACAAGTTAGTCGTCTTTGCCGTGGTCATCTGAAGAGAGAGCGGCATGGAGAGGTTGGTACTATTAAATATTAGATGGGGATAATAGTTCATATATTTAATAGTTAACAGCTGATGCCGTTTTAGAAACATGTTCGAGGGTGGGAGGCCTGTTTTAAATGGTGGGTGTGCAAAACAAACAACTGTCACCAGCCACCATAAACATTGGCCGCGTAAGTTGCACTGCAAACATGCGTGATGTCCTTTCTAACCATCCTCCGGGGGTGTTGATCACTGAATGTTGTCATCGCATTACTGTCGAGTATCGTGACTCTCAGGCAGCCTCAGACTTGACCCGAAGCCGAGGGTGCCTGTCAGAAGTGGCTCTGCAGTCCACCTTCTGGTGACGTTCTGTGTGCAGCCAGCTGGTCCACACAGCAAATGGTAGGAAGTCACATGTTTTGGCATCCCTTGCCCTTAAATTAGAAACAGGACAATAGAGGAAGTTGTTGATTGGAACAGTTGTAGTTGCACTTATCTGAGTGCATCTGCAAATCACAACCAGATTGCTGTCACCCAGCACCCACAGGTGGGAAACATTTCTGTGCGAGGGAACCTGTCTTAAAGTCTGGTCTTTTGAGTGGAAGATCCTGGACTAGGTCACAACATAAACTTCTGAACGCTTTCAATAGCTCAAGGAGGCGCTCAGGTGTCCAGAATCGCCTGCGATTTCAGGAAGGAGCAGGCCGACCTTATTGGTTGCTTCACTGTTGTCATGCTCAGCTTGGGCACCGAAACCACCACTGCAGGGGGAAACATTGTAATGCTTCCAGATGTCCCAGTTAATGCTCTGGTATTTATATAAAATATTTCCTCACATTTTGCACACTGTAAGAAGATTACTCCGTGGATGTCATTTTGTGGGCAGTAAACCTGGTTTAATGGTATCCGATTGTCCCCTAAATGTGATGACCTGCCACCACCCAGGCACTTGGCTAATGGGAGAGTGGCCCTGTGGCCCTGCCCCTGTGGGCTCCTTTCTTTTCTTCTCAGACCTTCTTTCCTTCCCTTTCCTGTGGCTTCCCTATGTGAAGGTGCCCTGGAAATAGAAGTGGGGATGCTATAAAGGGAAGGTTTTGGCCCTGGTTGGCATGGTTCAGCGGTTAGAGCTTCAGCCTGTGCACTGGAGGGTCTTGGGTTCGATTCCCGGTCAAGGGCATGTACCTGGGTTGCTGGTCTGATCCCTGCCCACGGTCAGGATGTGTGTGGGAGACAATCATTCAATTTGTCTCTGTTACATCGATATTTCTCTCTCTCCCCCTCCCTCCCTCTCCCCGTTTCCCCTTCCCTTTCTGCTCTCTTTAAAAATCAATGGGGGAAAATGTCCTCACTCCTCCGGTGAGGATTAAAAAAAAGGGGGGGGAGGGATTTGAAACTCCTTTTCCAAATCTTTGTACTCAGGAAAGGTGCGGCCATGTGCCACAGGGGTCCTTGTTCCCTGAACGAGGCTGTGGGACGGACCCCGAGTCCAGTCTCTGAGGAGTTGAGTGATCAGCTCCCACACGGTGCACCTGGGAGTGCAGAACACAACCCCCTCTGGAAGCTGAGCTGTGGACTAGTCATATTTTGGTAATGACTAATAGAGTTGTTGTATTGGTTATAGTTTTTTGTCCTCAGACAATTAAAGAATTAGGTTATCAGATTAAAATAGATCAATAACGTATTGGATGGAAAGGGACAAGTGTTGGAGACACTTCATGTCTTGGTATAAATTTGTGAAAACTGATGGAATGGTGCATTTTCACTTCATGTAACGTGTGTCTGAGCAACCACTCACTAGCCTTCATGTCTGCAAACCCACCAGTTGGAAATACAAGGGGAGGGAGAACCCCATTTACTGTGGCCACCAAAAAGATCAATAATTTAGAAGAAACTTAAGAAATGAGCAAAACCTGTAGAAGTGCTTTGATGGTTTCCTGGGAGGCGCTGAGTTGGCTCCAACAAACAGATAGACAGCCGCCCTCTGGGACAGGCGGACACTGCAGCCTACGGACGGCGCTCTCCCTTTGCTGACATTTAGTTAATGGAATCCTGCCCTGGCCGCTTTGGCTCAGTGGTTACAGTGTCAGCCTGTGGACTGAAGGGTCCTGGGTTCGATCCCAGCCAAGGGCACATACCTCAGTTGTAGGCTTGATCCCCAGCCCCAGTCGGGGCGCGTGCGGGAAGCAGCCAATCGATGTGTCTCTCCCATCAGTGCCTCCCCCACTCTCTCTGAGAAGCAATGGAATAAATATCCTCTGGTGAGGATTAAAAATGTTTTCTAAAAAAAGTTAACAGAATCTCAATAAAAATACCAGCACAGCTTTCCCTCCAGCCAGTCAAGCTCTTAAAAGTTCCTGTGCTCACAATGTGCTTGCAGATAAACCTGGGAGAATCAGCAGGGAAGGGCCAGGCAGGAAGCGGCGGAGGACCAGCCCACAGGCTGTCCATGCTCACGCTGGCCCCACGGTGCTGGTGTTGGCCACGGGCCAGCCGCTCACCACAGCGATGGGAAACCGAGAGCAGATTCACACACGACAAAGGAGAAGCCTCAGAGTGCTGGAGATGACGTGGAAAGAAATCACAGGGGGCCCCTGGCTGGCCACTGGGAGGAGGTGGCAGCGGCTCCTTACCTCCCACCACATGCAAGTGGGCCAGGGACTCAGAGTGTACCCACTAGGCTTTCTCTGGGAGCTGATGGCCACCAGACCATTGTGCACCTGTGTGTGTAGCATCCTGTGGAACATGGTCCTGTTCTTCTCATGTGTCAGATTTGATGGTGCACTTGCTGGGGGATACTGAGCCAGGACCCATCCTACCGCGGGGTTTCTAACAGATGCCCGGGCTGGGCCCCCATGGTCCTCCCTCTTCTCTCTCCCTCCCCAGCCCCACAACTTGGGTCTTTCGGCAACCAACTCACTCCTTGGCCTGATGCGACCTTATTTCTGGGTGTATGAAGCTGCAGCTTGATTTCTAAATGGTTTTATGGCATCCCTGAAATGCTTATAAATCCCAGGGCTTTGCAGAAAAGGAGTGTGTGGTCACAGTGGCTCTGTCAGGTGACACCTGCTGATGAGCAGTTGGGGGTGACCTTCAAGGTGCCCAGCGTTAAACTGGACCATCATGTCAGTGGATATCTTTGAAGAAACCCAGTGGTTGCTAAAATGAGTTGATAGTTCCACCTTACTTCAATTACTGTTTGAAAAGTTGCCTCAGTGTTTTTAAAAAGCTTCGCTTGCTTTTGGAATTTTGATACCTTGTCTGGTGTTCCCGCGCTTGCTTGGGAATAGTGCGGGATAAGTTCACAGAGCGCTCAGACGCGGGAGACTGTACTTGCTGCTGACTGAGGATGCTAACAGTATGTGTCATTTTTGTCAATGTAGATGACAGTGAAGTTACCTGGGTAAACTGTCCCCTGGCCACTGCGTGCGCACTGCCTGACGGAGGAGCAACTGTGTTAATGCCTAGACCCCTTGACTAACAGGTAAAGCCCGCCCCGCGCCCATGCCATTGCATGAGAACTTCTGGCAACTGGCCACCTCCTCACCTGCTTCTGAGTCTTGAAGATAGCTGGCTGGGGTGGGGGCGGCTTTCTAGTGCAGACGGCCTAGTAGGAGCTGGTCATCCAGGTTGGCTGGTTACTGTCATTCATTCGTTCGTTCTTTCATTCAGTGACCTTACTGGGCTCCATCTGTGTGGCCAGGCTCAGTGGGCCGTGTGAGAACAGATGGGGCTGAGTGATGGGAGCTTCTTACTGACGTGGTCAGGGCTGCGTCACCCAAGGACAGGAGCTGTGAGAGCCTTTGAAGGGTAAAGGGGCATAATCGGCCAGTTCTGTGTGGAGGGACTGAGCCTTGAGAAGAGACTTCAGGGACTCAGTGCAGCTTGAGTGAAGGTGGGAGGAAGGGGTGGGGGTT